AAAAAAAAAAAAAAAAAAAAAAGTAAAGTCAGCCTGATCCCTGGGTACAAAAAGACTAGTGCCTAGTTCAGAATATAGAGACTACTTAGAAGGGACTCTGGATGAGAACCATGCTGTGTTCTCTAATCCTGGTTTTTAAACATTTCCTCTTCTTTCCTAGGTCTGGATCCCCTAGGTTTGCCCCAAGAACCACCAGAAAGTTCGATACCATACAAGGCTGGTGGGTGAAGGAGCAGAAACCAGAAGACTTGGCCATGTGGACACAGTCTTCTTCAAAAAGACATCTATCTGATCATAGATGATAGTGGGTACCTTAGGCGGGTCTTGCTTTTTTCTTTGTTTCTCCGTAGTTCTGGTGCTGGGATAAAGTTCCAGCCTTTCCTAATGTCTCTGCTATGGATAGCAAATGGAAACCAAAAGGTAAATTCTTAAATAAGCTCACTCCTTTTCAGATTGAGGAGAAAAGATTCGCCTTTGGAATCTTTTTTTTCAGATTGGAAGGGCGGGGGTAGAGTCAACTCCTTGATGCTTATGGACCAATACTGCCATCTTGCGGACAAGTTTCACAACCCCCCACCAATACATAATTTCTTTCATGCAAGTCCCTAGGAAAGTTGTGTATATGGGAGGTTGAAGAGTCCCATATTCCACTAACCATTACAATATTTTCCTCTGTGGGTAGCTTGGAGCCATGCACTAGTGTACTCTGAACGCGTAACCTAGAGACAAAGGGACTGGAACCAAGTGCATTTGCCCTGAGGTACAGGAAGAGGAAGTGGAGGGGCAGAGCTTCAGTTTTGTTTTTTAAGATTAAAAAAATTATTTATTAATTTTTATTATTTTTAATGATGTGTATATGTCTGTGTGAGGGTAAGTACCTACCACCCCTCTTGGTTGTTAGGAATCAACTCAGGCCCCGGACAGGAGCAGTACATAAAACTGAGGAATTCCTCTAGCCCCAAGCCTAGAGTCTCGATTAAAATTGTCTTAGCAAGCTCATCATGACCATTACATTTCATTGGGAATGACTGGCTGATTTACCATGACAGAAGAAGCCACAAGGAATACCAAACTCCAAAAAGCAGTGATGTCAAGAGAAAACTTGCATGTTGCTTCAAGGGAACTGAGCAGTAGACAAAGATCCCCAGGAAAGTGCATTTATCTCTAGAAGGAGCTCTTTGGTCTTTCCAAACTTGAAGATCCCAGTTGGTGGTCCTAATGCCTTCCTGTATCAGTAGTTTTGTCCAAGGTTCATCTTTCCAGGCTGCTCCTAGCTTCAGGGTCTAGACTGAAGCATCATTAGTGTCTAGCCTCTCCTGACTCCTTTGGAAATGACATGTTGGTCCAGCTTGGAGCCTAGTAACCTTCTAAGACCTTTAAGGCCAGTCATTCCCTTTTGAATAAGCTCCATGGAAAAGAACTTGAAGCATTGCCTCATGTGTCAGTATATCTCTAGACCATCCCTTCCTGTCTGAAAAAACTTGACCAAGAAAAGGAAGCCAGGACATATAGTTACAGTTCATTTTGGCCTTGTTGATGTGATTTAAAGCCCCGAGAGCAGCTTTGTTTTCTGTTTTTGTTTTGAGAGACAAGATCTAGCTGTGTATCCCTGAGGAGCATTTCCTCAGCCTCAGGCTTGGGCTAGTTTGTCAGTGTTTTAAGACATCTCTAGCAAAAACCTCACAAATCCAAATGTTCCTTTTTATTACTGTTTGATACCAATATTCTTCTTTCAGCCTCTCCTGTCAAACCCTGTTTACCTATGAAGAGCTTTCCCACACATCTGAATCTACAAGAAGCACGGTTCTTGCTCAACTCTCCAGACAATTGGGCGCACGCACCTGAGACGATCCCAGACACTCCTTCTCCTGCTGTACGACTTCCAGAACTGATCCATGCTTGCTGTTTCTACACCACTGCAATAACATAGCCCTCCGGCTTAGCACAGAGATGTTAGTTAAAAGCCTGCTAAGTCATGCTTCAAGGGGCTGGACCTGAAAAGAAGTGCCCATGTGAGCCTGAATTGGTCTTTCCATGGGTTTTTGTCATCTTCAAATTGAGAGGAACCAATGCCCCTTTTTGGGCTCTGAACATTCATTTTCCACACCATGGTATAACTGGCATCCATTTCTCTTAGGACATTAAGGAGAAGGCATGGGGGCCCAATGTTAAATTTTTCACGTTACTGGAGGCACACTGATTGTGGGGACAGACTTTCATGTGGTTGTTCACTCCACAGTCTTCCAGGAAGGATCTCAATTTAGACAAGGCTAGAGAACAAATACTTGCATTGTTGTGATCCTTCCTTGATCATGGTGTGGGCTTCCATACCCCTATATAAGTTTTAAAGTCACCAGAGAGTGAGCCTTCAAAACCAAGTGTTCTCTATCATTCTGAAGGGAAAAATATTTTCTGTCTCTTGTCAATCCCCATTCACAAAGTATGACTCAAGAGATGGTTAAGACTCATCAGACAAATCTGTACCAGTTACTAGGACAGGGGATTTGGGTTCAGTCTGTCATCAATGAACCCCTTTTGTCCATCATACACCATTGCATTCTTTCTTTGATACTTAGAAAACGCAAGCATTTTACAGGGGAACAAGTATCTTTTCTATATACATTGTATTGTTGTATTATCATGCGCTGCTTAAGCTCACTGAGAAGATGGGTCCGGAGGTGGGACTTGGCCTTTCTACTTGAGACCCAAGCATGTTTGTCTGAAAGTATGCTTCTAAACCTCCTATCCTGGGTTAGTCTAGACATGTGGTTCAGGGAGAAGGAGAACAACAAAACAGCCCAAGAGTAAAGGGACTGTGCCCTTAGGAACAGCTCAGAGTCAATTTATTTCCAATATATCTCCAGTAGAAACAGAGGTTTCTTTTGTTTATTCTCTAACAGGAAGACGTCTGTAATGAACACAGGTAATAGGATACTCATCCCCATAGAGGACTTCATCTGGAAATCCTCAGTCAGTAACACCAGCATCACAGTTTTAACAGGCCTACTTCAGCTGATTTCTTAAGGATGTTCTAAACATTGATTTGATGATGGTTTGTTATCTACCTGCATGGTACCCACACTCATAGAAAACCAAAGGCACAGGTATGGTAAAGCATTTTCTGGACCATACAGAATATAAAGAGACCTTTGTCTTGTGTTTTCTATGAGGCTTGCCTGGGAATTTACAAAGCCTCATTGTCAACAATGTATACAGGTAATCTTAATTTATCACATTATTCAATGCATATAGCTTGGATTAAACCATCATTTAATAAGATGTTACTGTGATATAAGGAAAGAAATAAAAGGGAACTAATAAATAGAAGAGATAATGAAATATTAAAAGGATATGGAAACTTTGTCCTTAGTTAAGATCAGTGGATGTTTCCAAACTGGAAAAGATAAAAGACAGTGGAAAGCCTGAAGAAATCACAAAAGGTCTGAGTAGGTTATAGAAAGTATGGTAAAGATGAGGGATAGTGATGATACATGTAAGATTAAAATTTCTAATGTCCAATGTCCTGTTTAGATCAATAGCATTCTCTTAAGTTGAAGATATACATTTGGTAACCTTCACAAGGACTAACATAAACAATCAAAATGGTCTACGCAAGACTTATTTAAAAGTGATTGACTTTTGCCAAACTTTATTTAATGTTACACAAAAGTTAAAAGATACCAGACTGGTGTAACTGACCTGGGTTTTTAATAACCATACTTAGTAGAAGCCTATACTAATGTGAATAGAGGGATTAAATGGGACTGCATTTGGGGCCTTGCCTTCAAAGGTCCTACAACTCTGGCAAGTCACTGTCTTCCTGATCAGAGAAGCTATGGAGACTGCACAGGGTGGACTCTAACCAGGGGATAACAGCATTTGTACATTTTATGAACAGAAGAGTTGATACAAAGAGAATGCCCTCAATGCTTCAAAAGAATGTTGTCAGCAATGCCTTGTGACTTATGTGCAAGAAATAGCACAACTAATAAATGAAAGAAAAGGGACAAAGAAGAGCCCTCCTCCCAAGCACAAATGACCCCTGAGGACCAGACATTCAACTGGCTTTGACAGTAAAAAGAAAGCTATTTTAGGCCACCTGCATGGTCTCAAAGTAGTAGGAGAGTATAATCAAAGGTTAAAAATTATATATACATATAATTTAAAAATTACACACATAAATTTTAACTTTTGATTATATATATATATAATTATGTATAGGATATATATGGATCATATTCACCAGACATTAGTTAAGTCTATGTGAGGCATTTGTTAGAAAACCATTTCTGACTAATTTTTTTCTTGATAAGGAAAAGGCTGCATAGACACAGGACTTGAAACTTTAGGTCAATTTCAACACTGCAGCACCTACATGGGAACCTACAGTTGAGAGACAGACCCACTATTCTAACCTAAAAATCATACACTCATTAAATATCTTCTGCTCTAGAAGCCAGCTGAGGGGGACCTCACACTAGGATTTTAGCCTTTCCAACAGCTATCAAAGTACCTGAAAGCAGATCCTGGGTTCATCACTCAAGTCAGGCCTTGGAGAATGGGACTGGGGGGAAAGACCTGAGGAGCCCAAAGGATGGGTGTTCTTGTGAGCCTATGGAGGCTTTATAATGGAGATTGACTTGAACATTTTTATTTTTAGACCGACTTTTTTTTGTTCTGGCTTCTGGTGTTCTGCCTGGGGCTTATAATGCTGA